GAAAAAAAATTACTCATTTTGACACCGGTACTTTACAAACCATCAAGATGTCTTTAAATATAACTACGATGGAAAATTTGTAGATCAACTTAAATCCTTTGAGTAGTTACGACAAAAAAAATGATTGAAAGTTCACTCAGAAACGACCAATTAATATATAAAGATTGTTACAATCTGTTATATTAAAACATAAACCAATCACATTGGTTAGTTAGTCGTATACAGAAAGAAAGTGTAGCAACCAAAAAAGGTTTGATAAAAACATACAATTTCTTTTCTATTTGAAAAAGAGACCTCGAATTTTGATAATAATTTTCAAGACCAGTAACAAGAACTCAGCCATATTGTTTAATAGCTTCAGGTAGCTTGTCACTATATTGCTTATTAGTGGCGCCAAAAACAGACTATACATTCTTAATGCTAGTTGGATTATAGCATAAGGTTTCTCCAAAAACCCTGAAATATTCCAAAAAAATATACTGGGAAAACATTACAAAGCTACGAATTTCAAATATTTATAAATGAAGGAAAACTGAAAACTTACAATCAGCGACTTGTGGAAATTCATCGAACAAAAAAGTTATGTTCTTTAACAGGGTCTACAAAATAATTTATGATAACAAAATTACAAAATTGTCAAAAATAATAATATAACTCACATTCATTTTTGCATTAAAACAGAGAAGAGATATTTTACCAATACGATTCCTCCCGGTTTAATTGGCGATTCAATCAAAATCCTCGCATTTCTGAAAATAGTTTGTCAAATTGTTTATGAGATTATTTGTTCATTATTATTGATAAAATTTTCTTCAAAATAAATTCTATGATTATTGACTAATAATATAATTTTAAAGACATAAAATTATCAATATATCCCAAAAAAACTATTTACCTTATAACTAATCTTGTTCCTTCTTCTTTAAATTCATAGAAGCTACATCCTCTTGTAAAGGGAACTTTTCTTCCTTTCCATTCTTCATAACAATAATAAAAAAAATCAACAAAATGAAGTAAATAAATATGTTAACCCCATAAATATAAGAAGGACTGTATTAAAAGGAATAAATGGTTTACTAATATGTTATACGTACCAAGATGCCAATTAACAGCTGCACTATGTCCATCTCCTTCACACACATTTTCAACACAAAACTTAATGTTTTGTCCCATACTTTTCATCAATTCTTCAAAGAACTTTAATGCTTCCTGCAAGAATTATATACATTTCTTAATCTTTCATTGATTAACAAAAACCTATCTTGAGATGTAAAATGCAACAAAAAATTCTTACATTTTTTCCTCGAAAAGGTTTAGAGAAGGAGAAATCATCGATAAAACAATCGCCGGAGATGCAACTACTCAATCGATCCTGATTCTTCTCGTTAATAGACGAATAAAATTTCATAACAGTAGCATATCCAGAGATTTTATTCGGCCTAGAATTAAGTCGCTCTAAGCACGAAACCGCAGTATTTCTCCTTGAAGCATACTTATTCATCATGATTCTTGGATCATTCTTGATTGCATTAAACCCAGAATGTTGTAGAGAAGGTAGATTGGATATAAGCAGCGGAGTTTTGAATTTGGTGATGAGATTTTTCGTAACCATTGGACTCATAACATTAACCAAAGAGGCCATTTTGGTATAATATACAATTTTGTGATTTTTTTTTTTTTGTTTGTTGGAGAATTTGATAATGGTTAGAAAATTGAATTTGTAAACGTATATGAATGAAGTTTTGGTGTTTGTTATAAAATCATGTTTCATGTGATCTGTTAAAGTTGTTTCTTGCAAAATGCTTTACTTGCTCTTCTAACCTTTTAAATGTTCTTACTTACCTTGTGCTGCAAGAAATCTTATGGCATCTCCCTTAATATAATAACAAGCTTCCGTATCAAGAAATCTAAGCATCTCCACCCAAACTTTCCGGTTTGATTTCTTGCATCGGATAATGGATCAAATATTTTCTAAGACGTATGATTATATGAGAGATTATTATTATAAGTGTGAAATGGAATGTATAGTAGCACAACCGAACATAGTTAGAATTTTGAAATCATTATGCAGCTTATGTTTTCTTCTAATTCCCTAGCTAGATAAAGATTCTTAAGCTTAGCCAATTCCACCAACCTCTGTGCTTACTGCTTTTGAAGACACTTTCATCTTTAGAGACCTGCACAGCTCCATCACTGTGCACAATTCCACCAACCTGTATACTAGTCTCATCTTCTTCCTCCAAGATCTGTAGTACACCACATTCAGTAATCATGCCATCATTTCCCTGGCAGCTGAATTCAAATTGAATCTCACTCGTAGTCGCATCCACTTCAAGGCATATGTGTTCTTTGAACAATTCCCCAGAAAATACGAACAAGTGTCGTTCCATTACTAGGGGATTCGATCTAAGAAAGAATCCACGAAACTTAAGTTCATTGATGACGACACCTTTGCTTCTTAAACAACAAACTATAAACTCGCCGCTCTGCATATTTGGGATTGGGGAAATCAGGAGGCAAGCCTTAAATCTTGAGGACGTAGAGAAAGTCCCCGAAGAGATGGTTATGGAGTTTCCTGTGGCTTTGTGAGTGAACTCTACAGGGACTTCTTTACCTGGTAACCACACACACTTGTAAGCCCACCGTTGTATGATTACTCTTCTTGCTTCTTCATCAAGTGAAAAACAGTTGGGGAACATGACTGGTATGTCTGGGTCGTACAAAGAGGAAGATACTCTCATCGCTTCTTTCTCCAGTTTCAAACAGTTATGGTCGTTGACTGTAATATATCCTCCTGGTTCATAGAAGGAGAAACTGGCGCTTTTGAGCGATCCACAATCAGAAGCATCGAGAATCCAAAGCGTAGGCGGAAGACTTTGCAGTGCCAAACTTTCGCAATGCCAAAGTATCAATGTCTCAAGATTTGGGATTTCTTTCAACCAATAGGAAAAGCTCATATCTATCGACTTGAGATTTGCTAGGGGCTGCATGTGTCAATTACAACAAATGAGAAAAATCATGTTGGAGGACATTCTGATCTGATAACTAACCAATACCAACCTGGATTCCTCCCCAGAGCTTTTCGAGTTTGCTGAATTGCATATTGAGCTCGACAAGACAATCTGGCTGAAATGTTGGAGGGAGGCGTTTTCCTGGGTATGATTCCCATTTTAGTAACCTTAGACGAGGTAGATATTCAATTTTCTCTTATCTTGCCATAAAAAAATTATTACAAAAGTAACTATGTTCGATTCTTAAGAATCGAAGGTTACGCATTCCTTGAAAGGCTCGCCCACTTATGGAGATCTCACTGCTGATCATGTGTAGATCAAGTGATATACCTAGATCCAGTACCCTAAGGCCATCTTTATTCNTNNANTTTTNAGGGTNTCNTTAAATATAAAATTATTAAAAACACACTNTNTCTCTCTTCAAAAGTATCAACTATTTGATACTTTTGATACTCTCTCTCCAAAAATACCCACTATCTCTTCTCTTTACTCAAATTTTATTAATTTTATATTTCAATACACCCCATTTAAACAAAAGTATCAACTATTTGATACTTTTGATACTCTCTCTCTCCAAAAATACCCACTATCTCTTCTCTTTACTCAAATTTTATTAATTTTATATTTCAATACACCTATTATTTCAACCAAAAACACTTTCTTTCTTCTCAAATTTTAATAATTTTATATTTAATGATACCCACCAAAATTCACCAATAAAGATGCTCTAACAAACATTTCAAAAAAAAGGCAAGATGAAATTGTTATAAAAAACCAAAGTTTTGTTGAAGAGAGTTCTTAGAAAGAAAGAAAAAATACACACTCTATATCTTCTATATATATATATTAAAGAAAATCATTCCAAGCTAATTTTGTTTAGGTGTTATCACCACAAAT